TAAGTTGGTAGACCTGTATCCATAGTAATAGAACAAGAATAAGAGCCGTTTTACACACAAGAGAATTACTCCGAAAATTATGGTCATAATTATGCCGAAAATTTGCATGGAAAAAATATTGAAGATTTTCTCTACAACCTGTATGACACAAGCAAACAAATTTTGGAGTAATTCATATGATACGCCTGCGCATTAGAGTAATATTTCCGAATGGACATAACCTTAACCGGTATGACGTCCAATATAATCGGAAAGACAACAGACGTCGTTGATTTAAATTTATTTCTCAATGCTTGGACTATCGCATCCAACGCCTGACTCCGCAAATTTCTGTTTTTGTAATTGGATGACTTCACCTTGTACAGGTTTGGCCATTTTTGGTACTCCTCCAACAACAGTGTAACTTCTTCCCGATTCCACGACATTATGAATGTATGAATAAACAATAACAATAAACGCTTCTTCGTACGACTGGAACAGGACCACACCCACAAATGTTAAGTGAGGTTATGTTGTTGATGTTGACATGCACGGAAATAACCCTCTGCGCCGATTCTCGCTCATATTCTATAGAACGGGTTTTATATTTTTACCATGAACATTTTCACAAGAATTCTTTTACGTGTAATACGACAGCCAAAATTTTCGGCATAATTATGACCGTAATTTTCGGAGTAATTCTCTTGTGTGCCCTAACAGAATAGTAAGATGTAAACCAGCCGGTTGATCCATCTTTGTCTTGGACGTGCTTTGAGAGAAAGGGACTCGTCTTCTCCTCGATGTTGCACTGTTTTGCTCGTTTTTATGCGTTCATGCTCAACCGCTGTGCAAAAAAACAACTACCTTAATGCGGCGTTCACAGGGTATTTATTTTATGAAAAAGTTTTACAAATTACTGTTTTCAAGAACGGGGACTCATCGAATCAAACCTACCCTTCACCTGTTAACAGTGCGATTTTTTCGAATAAGTAGCGAGACAGATTTTTGTACCTGTCTGGGGAATTCTGTCCGAACCATCCGGCAACGCTGTATCTGGGATTTTTGGCCGATTGGTTGGCAACCATGAACAGTAACGCGAGCGGCTCTAGCAATCTTTTTGAGCATTTCGGTTTTGAATTTTGTAGTTTTTCTCGGTCTAGTGGTTTTAAGTGGAAAAACAGCTAATTCGGAAATTGCTTGTGTTAGTATAATGCAAGAATTCATCGTTTTGCAGTGTTTCAACTGCAAAGTTTACCAGGTTTGTACATATTTCAACTGTTATATTCTAATTAAGACACATACTTTTGTAATATTTAGGTGCACATAGTGAAAAAGTCCTCCAAGTGGAGATGCAAGCTGTGCAACGCCAAACAGTCCATCGTAAAGGTAAGATCGCATGCAATATTTATTAAATGGTAGAATACCAATAATTATTCACAGATATTCATGAAGAGTGAATCGGCCAAAGAATGTAGAGTTATAGCGCAGGAGTTGAATGAAAAATACATTAAACATGCAGAAGAATTAGCTATTGCATTGTGGTCGGAAACAAAAAATACCCCAATTGAAGAACCTGGTACTAAAGGAACTAATAGTGATAATCAAGGTGGCATTTTAAAATAAGTGACTCAAAGTGGACAAAATATTCTGACGAGGATAAAAAACATGCGCCGATTAACTCCAAATGACAAGCCTTTCAGTCTGTTAGCTATTAGGAGGGTTTTTATCTTTGTTGCTGGTGTTGATGCAGTCATTTTAGGATGTTATCGAATAATTTGTTACACTGTTTTCATGCTTTCTTTCAAAAGGTTTTCAAAAAATATGGTGGTTTAATATAACCAGTTTCATACATTTGATTGCTGTCTTATTCATTATACATAATGCAGTAAGTACATGAACCTGCTTCAAATAAAAAAGAATGGATTCCCTTACCTCACTCTGGCATTTATTGGAAAAATTTCACGACTCAACCTTTTGTTCGGCGGTAACCCTCCTGGTATAAATTTGTTTAGATTTTTTGAATAATTGCTAATTTTTCTTTTTTTCCAGTATATGACTAATCTCTCAGTGTATGCAATGTGCGCGATTTATTTAAAAAACATAGGATGTCAACCCTAACACACAGCTAGATGAGTATGCAAGGCTCACCTGGCGCATATATCCTGCTTCCCTTAGAAGAGTTGGAGGTATACCTAATTTCCACTTTGGAGACACTTGACACCCACGTCACAACACTAAAACACCAAAGTAATACTGAGAGACAATCGAGAACCCTATTATAGTGAGCACCACTACTGAAAAAAGTAGCTAAACCAAATAGGGCTCTGCACGGAGCTGTGAACGCCTAGACATTCCGCTGCGCCGACGGTTGCCAAGAGAAGCATGTGAGTGTTACCGGTCAACATAAACATCGAGTCGCTTCGGAAGCAGACGCGTGGAGTGGGAGCTGGAAAGGGGCGTAGCTGTACTACCCGGCCGTACCGTATCGCCGCAACGAGCTCCGAGCACTCGCTTTAGTCTCTCGGCAACCGTCGGCGCAGCGGAATGTCTACGCGTTCACAGGTCCGTACAGAGTCCTATTCGGTTTAGCTACTTTTTTTCAGTAGTGGTATTCACTATAGGGTTCTCGATTGTCTCTCAGTGGTGCCTTGGTGTTTTCGTGTTGTGACGTATGTGTCAAGTGTCTCCAAAGTGGAAATTAGGTCTACTTCCAACTCTTCTGATGGAAACAGGATATCTGTGCAGGAAACTAGGTGAGCCTTGCATACTCATCTACTTGTGTGTAAGGGTTGACATCCTATGTTTTTTAAATAAATTGCGCACATTGCATGCACTGAGAATTTAGTTATATACTGAGGTATCTGGGAAAAACTAAAATTTTGCCAAATCGTTTTTATTTTTGTCTGACTTTATTTTAAGAAATGTCAAAAAACTAATGGCACTATTCAGGCACTACATGATGGTGTTTTCAAAAAAGTGCTACACTGTATCTAATAGCAGCTTTTTCTACGTTCATACCTACCTACATTCATTTCTGAAAAATCTCAAAGCTATTAGCAAGGCTTCCAACAGAAGGTCCAAGGAATTGGTGGTAGCAGAGGTAGCAAAATCGTCCAATGAGCTGGCAACGCCGCAATCCAGGTGACATGATCAACTTTCGAAACGTATGTCTATTCCGGGGCAACGACGGAGTCATTTAAAACGTCTATGCGGCAGTTTTTCTAATCTTCATTTGCAAAAAGTATTGCACAACGATTTCGAGAACAATTTAGCTACGGATAGTTTTAGTACAGTATATTTCAATAGTTGTCTTGCGTGGCCATGTTATCTTTACTCGGGCCTCTGAATTAAAATACCGATTGCTATTTGTGCAATGTACATCAGGCTGACTTCGAAGTTGAGTCATTTATTTTAACAGTGAGTAGATCTGATCAAAAGAAATGTTTTTTTCCTTTACCATTTTTCTGGTAAAATTAAAGTAACAAAGTTATAGCCCTTTGGAAGTTTGAGTACCGCCCTGTCTCAATAATAATATCATGTACTCGTGTTTGGCAACAACGGATATAATCCGCCTTACCGGTTCATCGCATCGGAAACAAAAAAGCGAAAGAATTTGGAACGACGTTTTGCAATTAAGTGTTTTATTCAGTTCAGTTATACATACAGTCAGTATCTGTCGGTTAGCGTGTGAATAGTTTCTGTTGCGTGGCTCAAACGAAATAAAAAATGGCACATGTTTATGCGGATAGGTTTCCCAATCGAGTGCAACCAACCCTCGTGCCTTTGTTAATGTAGTACAACGGGCTCGTGAATCAGGTGACTTAAGACCTCACAGGGGACCTCACGATCAAATACAGGTCCGCACTGAAATACTTGTCGGGAGGATACTTTATAAAACAAGGTAAAATTTTTTTTTAATTTTTTTTTATTTTTACACACATATTCTGGTTTATCTTCCTTCTACAATCATTATCTGAAAATTAATGACTCAACTTCAAAGTCACCCTGTATATCAATAAAAATCACGCATTTGATATGACAAATGCGTTTCCTATATCTTTGAGGACCCTTCTCCTTTGTCATTTAAAATCAGGTGGACGTCTTTCTCCATTTATGATTTAATAATTTAACTCGTTTTTCGGCACTGCGAAAACAATTTTTCAATTCACGTCTGTTTTTTTAAATGAGATTGACATAAGACCTGTCACCACCCGCTAGTACCTCACAGACGTTAGGCGGTTACCCCGTACCACGTCATTGTTTGACATTGGGATGACGTCACATCCGTCTTCCCCTATTTCCGTTCTTCGCGAAAATTTTAGTATCGGTTCCCGGTAGTGCACTGTGCTACACTCGCGAAAAATACTTAATGTCAATCACAGAACATCAAATATGGCACTAAAATAGCATTGTAGATGTTTTGTGGTTATAGAAAGAAATAATTTATCAAGTCAAAGAAATTACAAAAACTGCAAATTTCGACATCATCCCAGTGTTACCGATTTGCTGAACTTTTTGCATCGTAAAGGAACTTTTTCGGAACCTAAATTTTGGAGGAACTTTCAAGAAAGAATAGTTTATTTTCGGAATTTTCAAGAAACTTTGGGTACAGCGGTCTGCGCCCATGGTGGTAGGATGCAAAAATTTCATGTGACGTCATTTGTGCATGAAAAATCGGAACATTTCGGAGTTTTTGGCAACCTCGCAGTGTTGGTAACACTGGATCATCCCCACCTCAATCGTTTCTTAAAGCTCCACAAGCATGATTCAACAGTTTTTAAACCTTCCTCCTAGTAATAAAAAATCGTTAAAACCCAAAAGGGAGCCCAAACACGATTCTTGATAACTTTTTTATAACGTTGATCGTTTTCGAGTTTTTAGCGATTCAGTGTTTGAAAAACCGTTAAGTTGCTTAAAAAACTGTTAAACATGATCGTTTTTGAGGTAGCCAAATATCGAAAATTCAAAAAGAGTATTTTAGGCTTATTTTAAGGATGGGAGGTTAAAATTAAAACAGGTGATACAAGCTGACACAGTTGTTTATTATTACATTCTTGTTTAGAAGATACAATTTCGAATCATGGCACCAAAAATGTTCAATTACATCTTTTCTTCAGAATAAATACAATACACAAAACACTAAATCTTTCTTAAATTAGTTCACAATCTCGATCCACTATAACTAAATTACAAGTAATAGCATAAATAAAAAATAATACATTTTGCTTAAAACTATAAATTTTACATAATCTAAATATGTACTTTCTACAAATGACAAAATATATACAATGCCGAAAGCTAGAGACTAGAGAATTAAAATTGGCAAACGATTTTTTACAACACGCTTTAAAAATAAAGTCATTATTGCTTCCATTACAACATTGCTTATCTCTACATGAAGTGTTAAAGAAACAGTGAAAATGTAGTAAAATACCGTCGTCTATACCCGGGTTCTACAAAAATAGCAAAAGTTAATCTCAAAATGAAGTGTCGCAGGTACCTACATTGTCTATGATTGTTTCCGCTTCTAAGAAATTTTGGACAAACAGGGGTATAGTATACTGAGTGTCCAAATTTTTATATACACTAATACACACAAAGCATCGAAGCTTTAGGAAAGAAAATGCAAATATAAAATAGAGATCACATTATTTACATCAAACAAAACTGCTATTATTATTAAAGAAATAGTTTTCGTACTGTAGAGGGTTGTAGTACAATCTATCATTACAAGCACCTCAAAACCTGTTTCATATTTATCTGACGTAATTTAAAATTGATGCTTTTGAGCTGAATGCATGCGTATTTTTTTTAGGAAGTAATCTTTGATTTTCATTGGGGCTTGTAATCCTAGATTTTACTTTACTTTCATGACATATTGAATAAGTACAGGAGTATTGGTTTTCAAATGCAAGTAGTATCAAATCAAAATGGTTCCACAAGGTCAACATCATTAGGCGCTGATTATAACTTACCACATTTTGTTATGAGGTGGATGATTATCATGCACGGGGCTGCGGTTTATCAAAATTTGGGGAGTCTACTTAATATTTATGGTTTATTACAAAGATGAGACTTTTTCGTTTAAAGATCAGGTTAACATTTGAACCAGTATATTTCTGAGATTCTAAATGCGGGTTAAATACAACAATTATGCTATCAATCTCTTGGAAGTGACATATGTAATACTTATATGGATACATGGAATGCGAAAGGTGTATACCTTTTGCCGAGAAAGCTATTTCCAAGGTGACAGGCCTAAGGCCGCGATTATACTCCGAGGTGGCGGGTGGTAGGCGGAGGTGACGGGTGATGATCCAATTATATTGAGGCAATATCATATTCGTAAAATCGTTTCACGCGTTTCCTTACGGCTAAATAAAAAATCAGTCACACGTACGAGTTCTACTCTTGATAGCGTCTTCAAGATTTTCTCCGTCTCCTTTTACTACCAGGCTTCTTTGGGCTCCCCTGCTGTTGCCTGATGATTGTGGTGGAGTTGTTGTTTGCGTCTCTTCCTCTCGTGTCGTGCTTGACCGTATGGTTGCGAGGATGGCCGCCAGAGGGCGCGACGGCGCCACGATCTGTTCAGAGAAAAAAGATGTTTAAAAACTGCCAATAACTCACACATAAGCTACGGTGGTTCTAAAAAGCACTGTAGTTTGCGAATAAAAGTAGTTCCTTGAATTTGATTAGAGTGGGTTTCGGGATTGAGATTTTTTATGTATTAAGCACACTGATTTATTCTTAAAAAAATGGCATGGAAACATACAATGCTTTTATGAGATATGAAGTGCTGTTTTCCAGGCAAATAGCGTTCATTTCATCCAGGATTTCTGCTTATGTACATTCCTACGAATTATTCTAATCTAAAAGACTTCTTGCAGGTTGCTTGTTCGCTATGAGTCGATTTTGCTGCTGAAAAAAACTGATATCGTTGATAAGTTGATTGAGTTGTCGATATTAATTTTTTTCGATCAGCTATTAGGAAGTTGAGCAGAACTGAGAGATATAGAACAGGCTATAGCAGATAGATCATCCAGTGTATTAGATTGTGAAGTGAGCGATAGTGAAGTGTAGCGGTGGAGACGTGAGATTCTTGCAGACTATGATCCTCATTCTACTTACTTAGTATTCAGAGAATAGTCTGTTCGATATGGATATTCTTGTACTAACGCTAGACTCCTGGCAGCTGGCAAAATGTTATTAATCAGTCGTTGAAAAAATATTGGCATACCATACATCTTACATAACTAAACAAACTTTATACCCAGTGATCATCAATGCTTTGACATCTCGTTGTGATGATCCGAAAAATATGCTTTTTTGATTTATTTTACGTACTGACGTCTTTTAGCCGTATCAAAATGACGTCTTATTCACGTCCTGAAATGACGTCCTAAGGGCCACGCAAATTGATGTCCACAAGACGTAACAGTAACGACACTTGATACGTCCGGTACTGCGTATAAACTTGAATATAACGTTGCAAGAACAGTATTTAAAATTTTGTTATGTTGGAATTTACCTTCGTCTTGATATTTCCTCTTCCTATAATACTGCCCAATATTGTGTAGTGGTAACGAATTCATCCTTGGTTTCGGCCTTATGTGATTACTGTGAGCCACAGTGCACGACTTGCCTTTGCAAGAGACCAATCTTGCTAACTGGTCATGGAGGTAGGATCTTTCTTCTGGTTTCAGCGAATCTATCCTGTTTTGTAGCTCGAAGGGATCTGGAATAAATGGTCCATTTATAAAGGATGTTCAAAAAGTACGGATACCTCAAAATACTTTTGCAACGGATAATCTAACGGCGACTTTGAACGTGACATTAAATGTAGCTTTCAAGGTCATTCGAATGTCAAGATAGTTTTCTTGAATGGAAACCCCTACTTTTGACACCGGAGAGTGAGAAATTTTACGTTCAAGTAAATCTTTGTCCATGACCTTGACTATGACCTTCACGAGAATTTGAGGGCGTCCAAGAAGTACGTAAAGGACAAAATGTGTGAAAAAATACGATTCATAATGAAACATGTACCAGAACAAACTTGTAGGGTTTGAACAGGATCAAGCAGTGGTGACCTTGAGCGTGATCATGACCTTCAAGGTCATTCAAAGGTCAAGATAGTGTTATTCTTAAGAAACCTCTATTTTTGGCACCAAAAATGTAAATAGCAGAAACATTTTTGTTCCAGTATGTCCACGATCTTACCTATGACCTTCAAGGTAATTTGAATGACAATATAGTTGTTTTGAATGGATATTTTTCACACCAGAAATGTAAAGAGTAGGAAATTTAGAGCTCAAACATGTTTTTGTCCATGACCTTGACTATGACCATGAAGGTCATTTGAAGATTGGATAAATTTCTAAATAATCTCCTTATATTTTGTCGGGGATATAAAGAAGATAAACATTTTGCGGTCAAGGTCACTATTATCTACTTGACCATCATCTTGACTATGACCTTCAAGATAACTGGAAGGTGAAATAAACCGCAAAACTTTGTTCTACAGAATTTTTTTCTGGGACACGCATTTATCGAGATATTTTAGGCCATCCATACTTTTTGGACAGCATATACAGGGGACTTCGAAGTTGAGTCATTTATATTAACAGTGAGTAGATCTGATCAAAAGATATGTTTTTTCCTTTACCATTTTTCTGGTAAAATTAAAGTAACAAAATTATAGCCCTTTGGAAGTTTGAGTACCGCCCTGTCTCAATAATAATATTGTGCTCGTGTTTGGCGACAACGGATATAATTCGCCTTATCGGTTCATCGCATCGGAAACAAAAAAGCGAAAGAATTTGGAACGATGTTTTTACAATTATTTCATTCAGTTGTATACAGTGTCAGTCGGTAGTGGATAGTGGTGTCTGTTGCGTGGCTCAAACGAAATAAAAAATGGCACATGTTTATGCGGATCGGTTTCCCAATCGAGTGCAACCAACCCCTCGTGCCTTAGTTAATGTAGTACAACGGGTTCGTGAATCATTTGACTTAAGGCCTCACATATGGACGGCATGCCGGTGCTCCAAGACCTCACGATCAAATACAGGTCCGCACTGAAATACTTGTCGGGAGGATACTTTATAAAACAAGGTACATTTTTTTTTTATTTTTACACACATATTTTGGTTTATCTTCCTTCTACAATCATTATCTGAAAATTAATGACTCAACTTCAAAGTCCGTATAATGTAAATGAAGTGCAGAGTATACGAACAACTTGCCGAAAAACTTTTTCATAAAATAGTATTGTTTTAATTTTTTGAGGTGTTCCAATTTTCGGCAGGTACTGCCCCATTTTCTTAAAGACTGTATTGACGTTTCGACTACCTTTTTGTACGCTTGTATACATGCTGAAAACTTGACTTACCTATCCTTAGGTTGTAGAATGTGACCATTCCGGTGGTGAATTCGCAGTACAAAAAATTGTGAGTTGAATTGATCGTCCTGACACAAGAGTATGTGTTGTTATTTGCGTTCATACAGAAACAAAAAGGTCCCGCTGTCCATTGTGGGGCTGTCTTCCAATGATCGTTGTCATGGTGGAAGCAGTTCATCCTTTCGTGGCTGCATTCCTGAAAACAAAAATCGCGTCAAGTAGATTGACTCAGTACTTTCTCGCATTGACATCTATTGAACATTTTAGCTACACGATATCAAAATTTCTGATTAGAGAACGCCTAGATACGAAATTTATATTTTTCATGATCAAGATCCATCTAAACATTTTTTTGGCTACGCCCAAAAATGATCAGAAACGAGGACATCGAAAAACGAAGTTTGGAACGGTTTGAAATTTTCATTTTTGCCATAACTAGGCCGCTCTGCTACTGGATCGGTTTTCCAAACTCACAAAGCTTTCACCAATTGATACTTTTCTAGTTATGTTCCCAACATTATCAGTCCCGAGGGACTTTAGTTTTTAGAGGGGCAACTGAAAATACAAAATGACACTGACGAACAAAATAGTGCAATTAAAGATTTACATCAACGTTAGCACCATATTACAGATTCAATGAATATTTTTAAATTTCATTTGGCGTCAAGTAGACTGACTTAGTATAGCTCCTCACCTTTTCTAATTGCTCCTTTTCCTTTGTTTCCTCAATTTCTTCTTTAACCTCTCTTCCTTCAACCGCCGCTTTCTTCCTTCAAAACATCCTTTTCTTCTGGAATGTAGGGGTCTTTGATCTCACAGTGACATAAGTGCTGTTTCACTTTTTTCTTCGGATTAGACATGAGCTCATCTGTTTTGGGCTGCAATATCAAAAATAACACAGTTCAACCTTTGACCTAAAAGTTATCACTGGACCCCACAGGGATATCTCACAGTTTTTAGGGACCCAGATCACTATAACGAGGTGTGCTGACCTCTATAATGTCAGGTCAAGGTCAGATTTAGAAAAATTGCTTAAACATTTTGGAAAAAGTCTATTTTGTAGGTTTTTGGGTAACTAAATCAAAATCTGGCGGCGTATGGTTTGACTAGGGAGGCCAAAAGTTATTTCAAGGTCAATTAACGTTATTTCAAGGTCACAGTTTGTAAAAATGCTTGATTCTATAACCTCAACGTGTAGTTTTTTTGGGTCAAATTAAGGCCCGTCAAGGCCTGTCTGGCTGATCGAGGATTCTTCTCTTACGGACGCGCTCGGCACCCTTCAGACCAGTCTATCTGGGGAGGCTTTTTCCAGTTCTGCTAGCGTTAGTCAAAAATCGGATTAACAAAAAGAAAAAACAAAGTTCAGATTTGAATTCTGGGTTCCCAAAACCGTGATATGATACCCTTATGCAATTCAGTGATAAAATCTTGGATAAAAATTTGATCTGTGCATTTAATAGTAATATGAAATCCAGTCAGTATTCAGATATTATGGAGACTCACTTTGACCTAACGCTGATTTATAGTGTTTATTTTCAGATGGAAACGAAGTAAAAATACACTTCTCCGGCCAATTACGTCTTAAAAAAATAGAAAATACTCTTAAAAAACTCACCCTTGGTATCGTTGGGGTCTTCCTGCCCCGACTTTCAAAAATACCCGATGGGGTAGTAGTACTCATCCCCATACTCCCTGTACTTGAATGGGTTCTGTGATGACTATGCCTGTGAGGATTACTGTGCATAGTTGGCATCGCTGTAGTAAATTCTGGAGTCGATCTTGTCACTTCCTCATCAAAATCGGTACCGTTCACCTCGAGACTATCGTTGAACGACTCAGGAAGAAAATCGTCCAAAGATGGAGTGGAAGAAACTGGTGGCTTGTTCTTCCTCTTCTTCTTGAATCTGTTGACATCTAATGGTACCGGTCTTGGGATCTCTTTGTTGTGGAGCACTGGCAAAGAGTTATGCTGGAAGTTCAACTCATTGAAGGTATTCAACTCGGTTCCGTTGACTTCACCGCTTTCGTCAAGAGGTCTCGTGTTTTTAAGATGTCTTCTGATTTCTTTTAAAGTTTCTAGTTTGTGTCTGAGTTGCTGTATTTCGTTTTCTATTCTGTGCCTCGATTGTCTCCAAGTTTTCTTGTCTTTGTAGATGACCGTGGAACAGTTGATTTTGCCTCTGGTGATGATACAGCCTGGATTCGAGATGGCGTTTGAATCCCATGTGGGTTCGTTGGAACTATTCGTACTGACCTACAAAGAAAGAATTGTATTTTTTATATTCGAGGTAAAATACGATTATAAAGATCAATGTACTTTAAGCGGGCAGTTTCCCATGGTCCCGATCGACTCTCATATAGTTTGCATTGTATTAAATCGCTCTTGGACACGAGAAAATGTTCTAACCGGACAAAAAACAAAATAAAAAGAGACGCCACATTTTTTCTGTTGAGAGTATCGCTTTTGTATTTCTGAATCGTGCCGAGCACCATGTTCGATAGGATTTTCTCGGGTAAACCGGGGATCAGTGATGGTCGTTTACGCGTACACATTAATCGTCTACGTCTCGATATATATATATATATATATATATATATATATATATATATATATACAGGGTGACTTCGAAGTTGAGTCATTTATTTTAACAGTGAGTAGATCTGATCAAAAGAAATGTTTTTTCCTTTACCATTTTTCTGGTAAAATTAAAGTAACAAAGTTATAGCCCTTTGGATGTTTGAGTACCGCCCTGTCTCAATAATAATATTATGTGCTCGTGTTTGGCAACAACGGATATAATCCGTCTTATCGGTTCATCGCATCGGAAACAAGAAAGCGAAAGAATTTGGAACGATGTTTTTACAATTATTTTATTCAGTTGTATACAGTCAGTGTCAGTCGGTAACGCGTGAGTGAATAGTGGTGTCTGTTGCGTGGCTCAAACGAAATAAAAAATGGCACATGTTTACGAAAATGTTGAACTTGTGGACATGCTTCTTATTTACGCGGCATCACGGATTTATGCGGATCGGTTTCCCAATCGAGTGCAACCAACCCCTCGTGCCTTTGTTAATGTAGTACAAAGGGCTCGTGGATCAGGTGACTTAAGACCTCACAGGGGAGGGCATGCCGGTGCTCCAAGACCGCACGATCAAATACAGGTCCGCACTGAAATACTTGTCGGGAGGATACTTTATAAAACAAGGTAACATTTTTTTTTTATTTTTTTTTATTTCTACACACATATTTTGGTTTATCTTCCTTCTACAATCATTATCTGAAAATTAATGACTCAACTTCAAAGTATATAGATACTTTTTTTATTCTCTCTAGCTTTCAATGGACTTTGCCATCATCATCAGGAGCTGCAATTACATTGATAACAGTAGCAACAATAGTGTAAAATGAATTTAAATTGACTTAACTTACAGTAGTATGTGAGGATGTTAAGTCAATTTAAATTCATTTTACACTATTGTTGCTACTGTTATCAATGTAATTGCAGCTCCTGATGACGATGGCAAAGTCCATTGAAAGCTAGAGAGAATAAAAAAGTATAAAGAGTCCTCTTTGCTTAAATTTTTGTCGAAGTACCCAACAAAAAGCGGAAGCTTTAATTTTTCACCTAACTGGTCTAGACGACAATGACCACGTCTCAAGTTATATATATATATATATATATATACAATGTATACATTGCGTATACAATGAATACAAAGTATACAATAATAAAGACAATGTATAGAATAGCTTAAGTGAGGTTAGGTTTATTCGTAAACGTCAGAAAGTTAGTGAGCAGTGAACCGGTAACTTAAAAAAATATGGTTGGATGCCCCAAGAAGAAAGAAAACGATGCATTTGGGCTCATTTTGTTTAAAAATGGAAAGACGTATTCCGTATAGCGTAGTGTCCTGCAAAAAAATGTGTCCAATTTCGCTGAGTGAAATCAGTCCTTTGGCTGACTTCACTCAGCGTGGATTTTGTTTCCAGAAAGTATTTTGTTTTATTTTACTTAAGAAATGTTCTAATTTATTTAAAACTGTATTTATATAATAGGGTGATTTTTTTGCTAGTATCTTTTTGGCAACACTGTTTTTGACAGATGACGCGTGAATCGTGTTTTGTGTCATTGTACAAACTTGTTCAGTTTGGTCTATAATTTAACCATGAATCGACTTCCGACGAACAACGCTTGCAAATTATTAAATTTTACTATCAAAATTTGGTCGGCCTACTGAGGGAGCTATTCGGAAGCTTGTGACTAAATTTCGAACCCAGTTTACATTATTGGACATTAAACCACCAACGCGCAGACGTAGAGTGAGGACTGATTGCGGCTGTATCCGCCAGTGTTAGTGATGACCGTGAAATGTCGATTCGCCGCCGTTCGCAGCAATTGGGCCTCTGTTATTCCACCAGCTGGAAAATTTTGCGACAGGATTTGGGTGTAAAACCTGATAAGATACAGCTGGTGCAAGAATTGAAGCCACACGACCTCCCACAACGTTTCCCATTTGGTGAAAGGGCGCATGCAAAGTTGGAGGAAGATCCACATTTTTATCGAAAAATTGTGTTCAGCGACGAAGCTCATTTCTGGTTGAATGGGTATGTTAACAAGCAAAATTGCCGCATCTGGAGTGAAAACCAGCCAGAAGCATTGCAAGAGCTACCAATGCATCCCGAAAAAATCACTGTTTGGTGTGGATTATGGGCCGGTGGCATCATCGGGCCGTACTTCTTCAAAGACGACAATGGCCGGAACGTAACTGTGAATGGCGAGCGCTACCGTGCGATGATAACAAACTTATTTTTGCCCAAAATGGAAGAGCTGGACTTGGCTGACATGTGGTTTCAACAAGACGGTGCCACATGCCACACCGCACACGAAACAATGGCCCTATTGAGAGGCGAGTTCGGTGAACAGTTTATCTCACGTGATTTAACGCCGTTGGACTATTTCTTGTGGGGCCATGTTAAGGCTAATGTCTACAAGGATAAACCAGCAACGATTGACGCACTGGAAGCCAACATTGAAGCATTTATTCGTGAGATACCGGCCGATATGTTGGAGAGAGTGTGCCAAAATTGGACCTTGCGCATGGGCCATCTAAAGCGGAGCCGCGGCCAACATTTACATGAAATAATCTTTAACCATTAAATTATATCGACCGTTCTATCGACTCAAATAAAGATTTAATCGTTTTTTCAAATTTTTTGTGTTTTTTAGAAAATCAAATCCTATACCTCTTAAAAAATCACCCGTTATAAGTAACCAAAGAAACAGTGCAAAATTGCTTCCGCAAAGCAGGATTCAAGCATGAAAATATGTAAATTGACGACTAGTTGAATGTCTGATACACCTGACCCAGAAGGTGTCTTAAAAGTTAATGTCCTTACAGATACCCTCAAAAATAAGAATTTATTGAAATTGATTTATTGATTTTTTGAACCTAGATGACAGTTTGTATGTTCAAGATCCATATTCAGGACAAGAAATCGAAAGTCTAGTTGAAATACAAGGTTCCAGTACCAACAGAAGCTATTCCAAATTATGGTAAACCTATTACCATGACCAAGTAGCTCAAAAGTTTTGTCGAAACTTAGTGGGATACAGAGTATTTTAAAGAAAAGAGGAGAAACGAAAATATGTTATATGAATTTTTGCGTCCTCAAACTGACTTTTTATTTCATTGTTTTGTGTTCCGAGATATATGCATGTACATACATATTATATGATACATAATGTATGTACATTTTTTCTAAAATTTAAGGTTCTTTGTTATTTTAAAATTTACATATACGTTTTAATGTTCCAGTTTCTTTAATAAATTGAGTTTTCATTAAAAGCAAAGGATATTTCACTGTATATGGATTTCAATTTTTGAAAGCGCAAGATGCATATGTAGGTCCAATTCTAAAAAGTATATCTTTCATTTTTAATACGAAACGGAAAAAAACACTATCGGCCATGGTGTGACGTCATACAAATTGTGAACAAAGAAACGTCATCCGTATGTCACGCGTTGTCTTTTATAAATAGTTCTAAAAAACTCCTAATCAACCTAAACAGTTATCGTTTTTTCCTTTAAAAAAACAATCATAGACTCGTAAAAGCAGAAAGCATACATTTGCCGAAAATTGACCCATTGAAGGTTGAAGATTATGAATGTCATTAAATATGGTATCGTTGTAAATAGTATATGACACCTACTTTGAACAATATAATGGATAAAGACTTTATTTTTATAAAATGGGTTACCCTGAGCCCGTAAATTTGATCCTCGACATCGCCCATCGTATCTTCAAGGCTGCTGAGTGTATCTTCGATGTCCCTTTTTGCCATTTTATGGATCTTTTCTTCACCCAACTGTTCAAATAAAATTTTGTCCAAATCAACATCTCTCTTGATTCTGCCCATTCTTAGATCTCTTCTCGTCATGTTATTCAACTGGAAATTAAACGGTGCGTGTCATTGAAAATCAAAATTTCCACCCTACTGATACATCGAAGATTGATAGCTGGGATTTGCGGGGTGCTCTCAAAGCTGTGACTTTCCTTTGCAGTGTTGTTTTAAGAGAACAATATAACCGAGGCAATGTTTCAGAGAAAAATTGTGATATCAAGTCCGGCTCTGCCTTCCTCAAAATATTACGTGAAAAGATACTGATTTTTTGAGCGGCACGGGTATCACGTATCTTGAAAAGTGACGTTATGCCGATTTTGTTTGATATTATGCTGTTTTTTTTTTGAGATTATGTAGGTTTTTCGCCAAGACATTGACTTAGCAGTTGTATGTGTTGCCTAAACGTCATGAGGCTTGTTATCAATCTTTGACTCTGATGCGATGTAAAATCTGCTTCTGAGATGGCATTACTTTAGGTCTAAACAGTAAGTACTAAGTATGTGTTGGTGATAATTACATTGCGTTCTTGTCCCAAATACACTTAATTGAGATACAAAGCTAGAAATTAGTTGCGCATTCACTTTTTCTTATTCATTCTGGAAATTACATATACAAATTTGCTGAATTTCAAAAATGAGAGGGATAAGGAATAATTATATTCACTGTACACTGTCGAATTACAAGCCATATACATGCTAACAGTAATTACACACAACGCGGGCGCTGTGATGATTTCCCGTAATTCTCATCAGTTTTTCGTAATTTATAACTTTGAATATAACCTCTCTTCAGAAAGCACAACATACAGGTTGTCCCAGAAGTCGACGTCAAGTCGAAACCGGGTGATAGGCAAAGTCATAACAGCTATCAGAAAAATATTTAAAAAAAAATTATGTATGTGTTTTGAAAATTATAGGTCTTTGAAGAAAATATAGAAATTTCACACCCTACGGCAGTCTGTCAACTCCTGTTACTACAAATATTAACTTTTTTGGATTTTATTTTTACAATGTAATGATGAATAATGCATCTTCAAACTGGTGTCTCAACCTTACTGCCAACTTTTCTCGTTCAGGAAAAATTGCCACTTATTTCCCAATCCCCAAAAAAGGTATAACACTTAGAAAATTACTCGTTAACTTATGCACAATTTTTATTTGAGAAAAACTGATGAACATTTTTCAAAATTTCCTAATTAAACAGCGATTATGAAAACGCACAAGGACCCTTAAGGATAACTGTTTGCACAACAGTGGGCGTCAAAATGCTGCTGATGATGATTTACCTTTACAGCAAATGCTCAAACTGTTTTCCTTCAGCCGCAAAACACGCTCGACATCTTCTTAAAAAAGATCGGGTTATTAAACGAGCGAATCCACGGTTATTAACAAACTCAGCTGCTTCCAATAGTTTTTGCCGTAGCTCAGCTACATTTTGAATCGGCTTGAAATACACTTTTTCTTTTACAGTTCCCCAGTAAAAAAAATCTAACGGATTCAAATCTGGTGACCGGGCTGGCCACGGTATTGTACCATACGGCCCTATCCATCTGCCTGGAAAGTTTTGATCGAGATACTCTCCCACTGAGAGTGCATAGTGAGCTGGGCAGCCATCATGCTGAAACCACATGTCCCTGTAAATACTCAGTGGCACGTCCTCCAATAAATTTTCTAAACGATTTTGCAAAAAACCTAAATAAACCTCAGCAGTCAAAGTCTCTGGGAACTCAAACGGACCGATTATTTTACCATTTAAAATTCGGGTTTATCTTGAAGCGATATTAAGATTTATCTTCTCTCATCAAATGTGGGTTTGCTACGTGCCACTCGTGTAAGTTATGCAGGTTCATATACCCATCTTTCTTAAATGTGGTCTCATCTGACCATAAAATTTTTTCAAAGAACCGTGGATCTTCCTGTGTCTTTCTAACATTGTGCGACAAAAAGCAACTCGGGGCTCATAATCCCGGGGCAGAAGAGCTTGAACACGCTGTACGTGGTATGGATGGAGCACGTTTTTTGCAAGATTCTATGGACTGTACTTTTGGGCACACCTGTTTTTAGTTCTATTGCACGCACTGAAGTACTCGGGTCTTCTTCGACAGCTCCTAGCACCACGTCTTCGTAAGGAAGGAAAAATCTTCCCTCACCGTGTGATTGGTTTGGTAGTTGGCCCTCTGAGAACAGTAAGCGGTGCACATTTGTGAACACTCGATGATCTGGATGACGAGCTGCATTCGGGTACCTCTCACCGTAAAGTCTCGCTGCAGCACTAGCGTTGCATCTGCATTCCTCATAAATGAGGTGCATGTTAGCATATTCTTGTACGGTGTACACGGACATAGCGGTACTGCACAATCACACTATCAAAGATAGTCTAAGGAAAGCAAATGTTGTTTTGAAGAGCAATTAAACAGTCCAAATCCAAATCACAAGCGATCAACAGTCCAGTTCACGAATCCAAAATTAGTAACAGTACGAAATCAACAAGCACGAACATGTAAAGATGCGCAGTAAACGAAGGAGTACTGATCGGTATCAAAGTGTGCAATAGCAAGTAAGTTATGTGCTTCATCCATACCACATACAGCGGGTTCAACCTCTCCTGCCCGGGATTATGAGCCCCGAGTTGCTTTTTGTCGCACAATGTTAGAAAGACACAGGAAAAATCCACAGTTCTTTGAAAAAATTTGATGGTCGGATGAGACCACATTTAAGAAAGATGGGTACATGAACCTGCATAACTTACACGAGTGGCACGTAGCAAACCCACATTTGATGAGAGAAGATAAATCTCAATATCGCTTCAAGATAAACCATTGGACAGCAATTTTAAATGGTAAAATAATCGGTCCGTTTGAGTTCCCAGAGACTTTGACTGCTGAAATTTATTTGGATTTTTTGAAAAATCATGTAAAAAATTTATTGGTGGATGTGCCACTGAGTATTTACAGGGACATATGGTTTCAGCATGATGGCTGCCCAGCGCACTATGCACTCTCAGTGAGAGAGTATCTCGATCAAAACTTTCCAGGCAGATGGATAAGGCGGTCTGGTACAATACCGTGGCCAGCCCGGTCACCAGATTTGAATCCGTTAGATTTTTTTACTGGGGATCTGTAAAAGAAAAAGTGTATTTCAAGCCGATTCAAAATGTAGCTGAGCTACGGCAAAGACTATTGGAAGCAGCTGAGTTTGTTAATAACCGTGGATTCGCTCGTTTAATAACCCGATCTTTTTTAAGAAGATGTCGAGCGTGTATTGCGGCTGAAGGAAAACAGTTTGAGCATTTGCTGTAAAGGTAATCATCATCAGCAGCATTTTGACGCCCACTGTTGTGCAAACAGTTATCCTTAAGGGTCCTTGTGCGTTTTCATAATCGCTGTTTAATTAGGAAATTTTGAAAAATTTTCATCAGTTTTTTGTCAAATAAAAATTGTGCATAAGTTAACGAGTAATCTTCTAAGTGTTATACCATTTTGGAATCCTTATTAAATGCGCCAACTTTTAAGGTTACTTGCCAAACTCTCGTAGTACATTTTTTTCCAGTACAGCCAGTTAAAGTTGAGCAAAGTTTTACTTTGGAATACTTGGTTGGGAATAAGTGGCAATTTTTCCTGAACGAGAAAAGTTGGCAGTAAGGTTGAGACACCAGTTTGAAGATGCATTATTCATCATTACATTGTAAGAGTAAAATCCAAAAAAGTTAATATTTGTAGTAACAGGAGTTGACAGACTGCCGTAGGGTGTGAAATTTCTATATTTTTTTCAAAGACCTATAATTTTCAAAACACATACATAAAATTTTTTAAATATTTTTCTGATAGCTGTTATGACTTTGCCTATCACCCGGTTTTGGCTTGACGTCGACTTCTGGGACACCCTGTATAAATAACCCGTCATATTCAGCATATTCAGTAATGATTTTCTCTCACAGCAAATATCACTGATTTTTATACACATGTAGACCAATACACATCATCATCCAGATGCGATCTTGTTATTCAACCAACTTTCTTCTCAGAGATAAAAACTACAGGACACGGATCACTCAGCCTCACAAAACTATGCAACCAATAATGCGTGTAGTTAGTTGAGTGATTTCTCCTTCGATGGACGTTCACAACGATCCTAGTGACCAAACGTGGAATGACTGTTTGTACCCTAAAAACTACCTAGTCTGCTAGTTGACGTCTTATAGGTTTTTTTGACGTTTTGTATTTTTTTACATGATAACCGTGCCGAACCTTTTTGTACCTTGCGTCGCTATCTAGTACATTACTTTGCCCTATTTGGGCAACTTACAGGTAACTTCTTGTAAACCAGCCCATCGGGGGTGAAGCAAGCACATTTCCTGTACCCTCTCTCCTCCAATCCAACCACGTTCGTTGGCGCCACACTCTTGCATTTATGCCTCCTCCATCTTCCGTTATCGTTCTCGCAGAACCACTTCTGTCCCCTCTTGCAAGGCAACTTCGTATCGTCCCTCATGCACTCAACAGCGAGTCGTTCCAATTTGGTCGAGTAAGGTGGTACCGGGAGGAGTCTGTTGTCCAGTTGCATGGTACTTTCGTCCAACGGGTTGATCGGGGGCAGGTGGATCGTGTCCACGTTGGTCTTTTCTTCGATGTCGATATCGTCATCTTCTTCATCGTCTTCTAAAAGAAGAAATGGTCTCAGTACTACCCAAAGTATGGGCTAGTTGTGTAAATGCCAATTTTATGGTTATTGAATAGCATGCCATGAATAAGGCTCACTTATTTTTGTTGGGATTTTTTAAGCAGTTAAATGCACATAGAAGTTGCAATTATTACTACATTTCCATGAAATTTGTGTAATCGCTATAATAAATCAAGAAATTCTTCATGAATCATCTGCTTCATCTACGAAAACCTAGTCTTTGATCCCAGGTTTAAAATTTGCTTCTAGGCCAATTGAATTGAATTGCTTTATACTTACCATCGTCATCAGCTTCATCGTCGGTGTCATCACCATCGGTGGAAGTATCCAAAGAAGCCGGATCTTCTCCAGAATCGTAAACCCTAGGACCGCTAGTTATGTGAGACTGTATTAAACTGGATACCGTTGATGGAGTATATGTTGGTTGAGATACGTGAGCTTCAGTGCTGGTAAAAGGAGTTTCAGTGACGTTTCTGAAGTTTGCCGCTTGCGAGTACTTGTGGAGACGCTCGAGCTTTTGGTCCAAATAGGGGTTTCACGACGTCCAGAACTGTGGGAATGATAAAGATATTTTTCAGCAACGTGTAAGCATGAGCAATAGGTTCGATGTCGAAATTTCAGTTTTGTGTATGCTAGGAATATTGGTCATGGGATTTTTCGGACTTTCTGTGGCACAGTTGACTGAGCGAAAAAAGACCGAGGAGCTGAATTTTTTGCTGCATAAAAATAAATTGAAGTGATTTGTAGCTTCCAAAATGAATTCCTGATCTAAGAAGACGACAGGGTGAAACGCGGCAAGATTGTGAGAAGAGAATGATTGGTTGTCAATCAGGTTTAAATAATATAGGGTTGTCCAATAGGGACGCAGGAAAGTAAACGTCAATTTGACATAGACGCCATCTTTGTTTTCTGTCACCGACATGTCATTTTGTTAGTTGAATGTTTACCATTGATCGCTATGGAGTCGTATTCGATTGAAGACCGCATTAAAATTATTCAAGACAACTACAAAAATGGTGCAAAAATAAAAAACACGTTTCGCGCGCTTCGTGAACATTTCGGTCGCAACAACCGCCCAAACGAAACAACCATCGGTGGTCTGGTGCGTAAATTCGAGGCAACAGGTTCTGTGGCAAATCTGCCAGGCTCTGGCCGGCCAAGGAGCGTTCGCACACCGGAAAATATTGCTGTTGTGAAGGAGAGTGTGAGAGACGATCCGAAACAATCAACAACGCGTCGATCCCAAGAATTGGGCATTTCGAGAACCAGTTTGCACCTGCATTCTCCACAAGGATTTGAATGTACACGCCTACAAGATCCAAATGACGCAAGAGCTGCGTCGGGCCGACCATTTTTCGCGCCGAACGTTCTCAGATTGGCTCCTTGAACACCGCCAAATTGATGCCAATTTTTCATCAAAAATCATGTTCAGCGACGAAGCGCATTTCACTTTGAATGGGACGGTAAACAAGCAAAACTGCCGCATCTGGGCGAACGAAAATCCCCGTGAGTATCGAGAGCAGCTGATGCATCCTCAAAAAGTGACTGTGTGGTGTGCATTGTGGTCAAAAGGCATCATCGGACCTTACTTTTTCGAAAATGCGGCCGGGGACGCCGTTACCGCCAATTCTGAGCGATAACTCGTGATGATAGAGGACTATTTTTTGCCGCAACTTGAAGGAATGGATATGGACGATGTTATTTCCAACAAGACGGTGCAACATGCCACACAACCAACGTCAATATCGATTGCAGTCCTTCTTCGGTGAAAAGTAAGGTGATGGAGAGGTGAGCTTCTTGACTATCTCGAACGTCATGGCTTGATTAGCGGCAGGCAGTATGATTTCCGGCACCAGCGATCCACAGGGAACCTCCTAGCTGACGTCACGCAATTGTGGAGTAAACTCTGGTGAGGCTCTTGTTGCTCTTGATATCACGAAAGCGACGATCAGCTGTGGCTCTTCTACCTTCTGCAAACTTCCAACCTATGGCCTCCCAGACAAGCTTTGCATATCGGCGGCTGACTTTCTGTCTAACCGCAAAATATCCGTCGTAATTGACAGATTCTTCTCTTCATCTCACGTCAACCTGTTCCCCACGGAAACCTTGATAGGATAATTAATTGAAGAACGCTAGGGGGATTCCAGCTCCTAAGAAGCAGCAACCTTTATTGCAAAAATGGTAGACGTGGACGTCTAGGGGTCACTGTATATGATCGAAGCTTCTGCAGTGAAAAGCGGTATCCGAAGGCTGAAAATGGTAGATAGGTATACCGAAAGAACTATAGATTTCTCAGCAGGGTTTTCCACAAAAGGACGGATTTAAGGTTACCAATGCACGGAAATATTATGCTATTGTTTATTATCCTATTGAGGATTAGATGTACTCACCTTTCAATCAAAAACGTGTCCGGCCATCTGACCCTCTTCCTTTTGACGGCATCTGGTACTAATAGAAGGGGTAGTGCCGATCTCCCGTCCATATGCGGAGGTGGTTCCACGCCCGCCATGTGCAAAAACGTGGGTGCCAGGTCGATGTTCAGGACGATGTCGTCAACCACGGCTCCAGGAGTTATACCTGGGCCTCGCACTAGGAACGGGACTCGGACGTCGAACTCGAAGGGAAAGCTTTTGCCCTGGAAAAGTGATTTTTCAATATCTAGATCGTAGAGACATTATAATCCCTACTTCTTTATCAATATTATAAATGAGAAGGTGTGGGTTTGTTACTCAATCATGCCAAAATGGCTGAACGGATTTAGATAAAATTTGATTGGCTAAATTTAGAAAAAACTGTAAAATTACACTTCCTCTCTTTTATACATCATTTAATAGTGACTTCCACATCATCATATCTATTTGAAAAACTTATATACATAAGAAACATACATTGTCTAAATTTAAGACGTGGGTATACCTGGTCATCATTAAACAGTATTCAAAAGATCTTCCTCATATAACGGTGTGAAATTATATAATCAGGTGAATGAGATAACAAAGTACGTTTTATTATTATATAAAAATAATAGGCACATGCTTCTAGCAGAGCGATATATACTAAGTGGAAGAGGTATGTATACTAAGTGACATATAAATCCGAACACCCAGTTTAAAGGGTTTTATTTTAATAAAAGTTGGTGAATGTATTTATCTTACTGTAAATAACAAGTAAAAAATGTTCAGCCTTATCAGTTGGACATTCCGGTTTTTATACTGCTTTTTTTTAATTCACTAACGCTCTAAAAATGAATATTTCAGCCGCAGTAAAGAATCAACGTTGGCGGATTTTGGTTCTTGACATCCTTTACGATCGGTTACGATGCCTAGAGTACGGAGACCTGTACGATTTCGTCAACTTAGTGAGTTTGATAGGGGCCGTATAGTGGGACTTCGGGAACCTGGACTTTCTTTTCGGGCAATCGCAGTTAGAGTGCAAAGAAGTGTAGACACTGTGGTTAGGTGTTGTCAGGCATGGCTTCGAGAAGGCCGTACGCAAAGAGCAAGGGGCACTGGACGCCGCCGTAGGACAACAGACCGTGAAGATCGCCGCCTAAGATTATTGGCCTTAAGGGACCGTTTCTCCACTACCAGGTCCATTGCAAATCAATGGTTTGCAGAACACGGAAGACCTATTGGCATGCGAAGTGTTTACCGACGAATGAAAAGTTTTGGCTTGTTTTCATACCGGCCACACTGGGTCCTCCCTTTAACTCGAGAACACCGACCTAATCACCTTGAGTGGTGCAGACAACGGTCACTCTGGGATCAGGAATGGAACAGTATTGTCTTTAGTGACGAGTCTCGATTTTGTTTAGGGATGCACGATGGTCGTGCCAGGGTTAGAAGGCGACGTGGTGAAAGGAGGAATCCACAGTTTTTTGTTGAAAGGCATGTTCATCACACTGTTGGAGTTATGGTTTGGGGTGCTATAGCTTATGGTTCCAGGCCACCTTTAATCTTCATCAGAGGTAACATGAACGCGCAGCGTTATATCCACGAAGTCCTAGAACCCCATCTTTTACCCTATCTTGACACCCTGGCAGATCCAACTTTCCAACAAGATAATGCCCGACCACATGTTGCAAGAGTCACAATAGGTTTTTTCAACATAATGATGTCACATTGTTACCATGGCCACCAAGATCTCCTGACTTATCCCCAATTGAGCACACTTCACATACTGTTTATTGTGATTTTGATTATATATTTGATATTGGGGGTTAGAGAAGCGGTTATCGCCCGCGTGTGAAATTAGAGCCCAAAGCGTGAAACGAGTACTTTAAACATTGGAATCCTACCTCGCTATCATTCCATCTAAAGCTCATAGTTATTATAAAATGTAACCGTCGGCATTAATTTTAACTAGACAATTATCTGCGGTTTACCGACAATTAGCAGACGTCATCTTAATTAAATCTGCCTTTATATTCGCTAATCACTATAGTTTCATGTAAAATAACTAATGTCCGCCTCATCTTCTGCCTCGTTATATGTTTTTCACGATCTTGTAGGAGTTGGCATGAATAAAAATGCAATATTAAACAGCCTTGGCGATGCTTTCTTATATCATTATTAGATTTGATTCTTCCTTTTGTATCGCATTTAATATGCAACATCCTGTGTAGATAGCCTAATTTTATATTTGAATAATAAATAAACTAACTTGAGCGAATATTTGAAGATAGAACAGATCGCAGTTCCTGGCTCTTTGGCAAATAGTGGTGGGATGTCTTTTTGAGGACTGAAAGAGAGTGATTTTTTCGTTCTATGAAAAATTATACTTCGTTTTTGACCTGTACGTTCCGAAATATATTAAGCATAAGCATCGTTATCCAGGTTGGTATAGCTGGGATATTATTCGAAATTTAAAACCGAAACGTAGACTGCATCAACGTTCCAAAAGTCAGCAAATCTATTACCAAATCTATACTAATGACATTGAAAGTATACGGAGGAGATTTCTTAAATACTTGACTTTCAAATTAGATGGAGTTTATCCCAATCGCGGGACTCCCCAATCAGCGATGTTGCTCTGATTTGAAATGCATTCTCTTGAGCCGAGAATAGTTTGTTATAGTTTAAAATTCCTTTACAAACTCGTACAGAGTGATGTCGATTCTTCAGCTTTATTAGCTAAAATTGATTTTCATGTACCGTCCCACATTTCCCGAAGATTTCTCGCTTTTTACTTGAAAACACCAAATTCTAATGTTATGATTAAGTCACCCGTGTGCTTTATATGCTCCAGCTTTAACACCATAGCTGATAACTGTTACATTCATCGTGATAAAGTCAAAGATATATTAGGTGTATTCAGCGACTACTATTATTCAATTTATAACATTTAAGACATGTTTTTTGTTTCATTTTTATTTTTCAGAAACTGGACGAGCTATGAGTGTAGTTAAAAATACTGTAACGTCAAATTACATTATCCTTTAAATGGATGTATCTGTTGGGCAATAAATATATTATTATTATTATTTTTATTATTATATAGTATACCGTGGCTCCCATGTGCGAATACGATATAGAGGCTTTGTGGATAATGGCGTATTTTCCAGCATTTGTGTCAGGGGGGTCAGAGGAATCATGTTCAGGATATTCGTCTTGGGGGTCCAAATACTGGTTTCCCCGTTTTGGTAATTCTCGTAACAGATCCGTCAAAAGACGACCTGAAAAAGTACGGATATCTTTTTCTTAAAAACGGATAATATGTTATCGAAATTAAACATGCATAAAATTGCTTGAAAGAATTGGAGCTAGCGTTACATTGATGTAGATGGATTAATCAACTCTATCGAGGCACGTTCTGATTTTCAAAAATATTATTTTTGTCATTTCTATACAAAAATATTGAGATTTGGCTAGCCTGTTTTTGGCGAACTGAATTAGTTAGTATTTTTCATTGGATTACATCGTCTCCTGAGTTCTAATACAGCGTAACACAAAACTGACGAATTCTTGAAAGAGCAAGAAAAAAAGGTGGATCTTTGGATTTCCCTTCAAACCTCTTTCCAACGACGTTTCCTTCAGTGGCCTGTTTCTTAAGAATCAAGGGGTGTTTCGTAAATAAAAAGGATCAAATACAATAGTTCAGAATACTGGCCCAAGAGCCACCCATTGAATTTTTGGCCCATGTTTGGGAAACATCCTGTACATGATTAAATTAAGACAATTCCATTATGCTTAGTTACAAATAAAAAAGTGTCAAAAACATGAAGTACCTAGTATATATGTTTATGAGCTGAAAGATGAAGAGAGCGAGATTTGAACACTCTTATGGTCAGATAACTATGATTCTTGATAATTACCATCGCCTTTCAATCAAATGGAACCGACTCCTGTCCGAATGTCTCAATTTTCAATCAACAACCTTAATCAGAGAACACATGCGGCCCAATTTACAATAATGCACTAACGGACATACAGTGCTACGAAGTCGAAAAATTCAGATTCACCATGCGTCAAGCTGAACGTTTAGGCAACCAGACATACGCAACCATCCACTCCATCATTGATGCGCTTACAAATTGATCAGTGTTGCCACTGTTGCCAGGTGTGGTGATTTTTCACCAACTCTACTCATTTGTTTCCAATACACATATTTATTTCATTAAATTAATCAAAAAGATCCGACAGTCATAAATATTAGTCGCCAAACTAGATGCACTCAGAGGTTGGGGGTCATGACCCTCATGATTGCGTATTTTAAGAGTCAGCGTTCTGGGCTGCTTAAGGTTTGCTGCTGTATGAAAGAATGGAAAAAGCAAACTCTTTTGATTGAGGCGTCTTTAGTTGCCCCTCGCCTTCTGCAATTTTCAGTCCTAGGGTAGGTTCGTCTCTGTTTGTGGAAGAAAAGCCTTTTGGTGCTCGAACCACCAACATCTCTCAATCACTTGCTATATAATTTACCGCAGGTGTTGGATGAAATTTCCATTTTTTTTTCATTTAGAAGCTATATCCAACTTTCACATGCAATCTTAATATAGCGAAGTTTTACATAATCTTGGAAAGAAGGATTTCCTTCATACCTTATTACTCTTATTAGTAATTAATGCATTTCCATTAAACATATCGTTAGTCAAACTTTTTAATGAGCCGAATGGCTGTTTTGACATCTCGCACATATCATTAGGACGCTATAGGCAATGTATACAGACTATAAGAAGTAGAGCCCCTTGAAGAAAAACCTGTTATCTTTGGTATTTTTAAGCAGTGTCCAACCAGATTTTTGAAAATTGCTAATCATGGCTATTAAGGTTGATTTCTGTGCTCTGCCCCTGAGCCCTTTGCATATATTTATTTGATGAATGTTGTTGACAGTAAAACAAGTGATTTTAGTATGTATTATGTCGATATGTCAAATTGTTTTGAGGTTATGTGATTTTTGGTTCATGCGTGATAAGGATTATAATAGAAATGTATTCTTTTGAGCAAATAGCCGTAATAAAATTGCAACATCTGAGAAATGGTGATTCTTAGGAAAAAAAAAATATTAATAAGCTGCGTGACATCGGTCTTAAAGGCATACATATATGCAAGCTTAAAGTTGCATATAGGTATACATTTTATAGTTGATGATATAATCTCCAATTGGTATAAAAACTTGGCAAAAGTTCTTGTCCCAAGTGTACTTATCTTGGATTTGATAAACCGGTACTACGTATCCTAGCATCGGGTACAAGAATTTCAAATTGACAGAATGCTCCTTCAGGGGTACCACAAGGTTCAGTTCTAGGGCCTCGCTTGTTTTTAATGTATACATTTGATTTGGTCGTCAAAATTAAAAACTCGAGTGCAACTTTTTTTTTATACTCCAACCACCACGAAGGTCTAAACACCCATGGGGTACCGTGGGGCTATAGGGGGATACAGAGGAAAGGGGGAACGCCACACGGACTCTGGCGAGGGAACATGTGTGCATGCAACACGCACATATTCTGGCGCCGTCTACGAGATCCGCCGGGTGGTACCTCCGCGTACGACAGTCAGAGACCGTCTACCACGTACGGACAATCACAACATCCATAGCCAAGAGAAACATTTCTCCTGGGACGGGATTCGAACCCGCACAGCGCACGGCGACTGATCGGGAGACCGAAGAGTCTACTACTGCGGCCACCGCTGTTGCCTGTTATTATTATTATTATTATTATTATTATTATTATTATTATTATTATTATTATTATTATTATTATTATCTCTAATCCAATAGGATTGCGACAAATAATACGTCGATTTTTTAGCTATTATACTAAGTGACATATAAATCCGAACACCCAGTTTAAATGGTTTTATTTTAATAAAAGTTAGTGAATGTATTTATCTTACTGTAAATAACAAGTGAAAACATTTTCAGCCTTATCAGTTGGACATTCCGGTTTTTATACTGCTTTTTTTAATTCACTAACGCTCTAAAAATGAATATTTCAGCCGCAGTAAAGAATCAACGTTGGCCGATTTTGGTTCTTGACATTCTTTACGATCGGTTACGATGCCTAGAGTACGGAGACCTGTACGATTTCGTCAACTTAGTGAGTTTGATAGGGGCCGTATAGTGGGACTTCGGGAAGCTGGACTTTCTTTTCGGGCAATGGCAGTTAGAGTGCAAAGAAGTGTAGACACTGTGGTTAGGTGTTGTCAGGCATGGCTTCGAGAAGGCCGTACGCAAAGAGCAAGGGGCACTGGACGCCGCCGTAGAACAACTTACCGTGAAGATCGCCGCCTAAGATTATTGGCCTTATGGGACCGTTTCTCCACTACCAGGTCCATTGCAAATGAATGGTTTGCAGAACACGGAAGACCTATTGGCATGCGAAGTGCTTACCGACGAATGAGAAGTTTTGGCTTGTTTCATACCGGCCACACTGGGTCCTCCCTTTAACTCGAGAACACCGACGTAATCGCCTTGAGTGGTGCAGACAACGGTCACTCTGGGATCAGGAATGGAACAGTATTGTCTTTAGTGACGAGTCTCGATTTTGTTTAGGCATGCACGATGGTCGTGCCAGGGTTAGAAGGCGACGTGGTGAAAGGAGGAATCCACAGTTTTTTGTTGAAAGACATGTTCATCACACTGTTGGAGTTATGGTTTGGGGTGCTATAGCTTATGGTTCCAGGTCACCTTTAATCTTCATCAGAGGTAACATGAACGCGCAGCGTTATATCCACGAAGTTCTAGAACCCCATCTTTTACCCTATCTTGGCACCCTGGCAGATCCAACTTTCCAACAAGATAATGCCCGACCACATGTTGCAAGAGTCACAATAGACTTCTTTCAACATAATGATGTCACATTGTTACCATGGCCACCGAGATCTCCCGACTTATCCCCAATTGAGCACGTGTGGGATATGATGGGTAGGAGATTGCTCAACTTGCAACGTCCTCCTCAGACTCTAGAAGCACTTCGAGAGGAGTTGGTGGTTGCCTGGAATGAGATACCACAGGAGGACATTGACCACCTGATCAGAAGCATGCCTAGGCGCGTTGGAGAATGCATTGCACATCAGGGTGCATCCACACATTATTAAAGGTCAAAGGGCTTTAAAGCAGTGCAATCATTTTGAAATGTTTATCATTTACTTATTATGCTTCATTAAGTACTTATACAAAATTTTATTAAAATAAAACCATTTAAACTGGGTGTTCGGATTTATATGTCACTTAGTATACATATTTTTAACAACAAAATGCTGTGCCGTTTGAAACATTTCGTCAAATTTGACAGGCAGAAA